CACTCAGCTTCCTTGGGCATACCATTGACAACAAAGGTATACGCCCATTGAGAGATAAAGTGGCGGCTATCACAAACTATCCAGAGCCGACCACTGTGAAACATCTCCGCACTTTCAATGGCCTGGTAAGTTATTACCGAAGGTTTATCCCTAACTGTGCCTCTGTCATGAGACCACTCACAGATCTACTTCGAGGAACTGCGAAGTTCGTGTCTCTGGACAACGCGGCTAGACTTGCTTTCTCCAAAGTCAAGGAAGCCATTTCGAACGCAACCATGCTTATGCATCATGACCCCAATGCTCCTCTGAGTATTGCTGTTGATGCATCTGATTCAGCAATTGGAGCAGTTTTGCAACAGTTGACTGACAACCAGTGGCAACCGTTAGCCTTTTTCTCGAGGCGGCTGCAAGACGCGGAAACAAGATACAGTACATTTGGTAGGGAACTCCTAGCCATGTACTGTTCTGTACGCCATTTTCGACATTCTGTGGAAGGTCGTGATTTCATTATTTTCACAGACCACAAACCGTTAACGTTTTCCCTCAGCTCGGCGTCTGACAAATACTCCCCTCGTGAGTCGCGACAGCTGGATTACATTTCCCAGTTCACGTCAGACATCCGCCACATTTCTGGAGCAAACAACTCCGCAGCCGACGCACTATCTCGAATAGCTTCGATAAACTATATCGAGGGTATTGATCTCGTTGAACTAGCTCGGCGTCAAAAGGAAGACCTTGAGCTGCATCATGAGTTGTCGTCCACAACTCTCAAACTGCGACTTTGTCCTGTTGGATCAGACAAGGATGCAATTTTGTGCGATGTCTCTGCTAGTCAACCACGCCCAATAGTTCCGAAGAGTTGTCGACGCAACGTCTTCAATACGTTGCACAAACTCTCTCATCCAGGTGTACGAGCCACCATTAGGCTTATCGCACAACGTTTCTGCTGGCCTGGGATGAACAAAGACGTTAAGGAGTGGGCCCAGTCGTGCTTAGCTTGTCAAAAGTGTAAAGTCACGCGACACACGAAAAGCCCTTTAGGCTCATTTCTAGCCCCAGACATGCGTTTCGACCACGTCCATATAGATATTGTAGGACCCCTACCAGAATCTAATGGATGTACCTACCTTTTCACCTGTGTTGATCGTTTCACACGATGGCCGGAAGCAGTACCCATTAAAGATATTACTGCCGAAACAGTTGCTCGTGTTTTCGTCGAAAGATGGATCGCGAACTTCGGATGTCCATCCTACGTCACAACCGACCGTGGGCGCCAATTTGAGTGCGGACTATTTCACGCTCTAACGGCACTTTTAGGTTGCACTCGGTTCCGAACGACAGCCTACCATCCACAAGCAAATGGCATGGTAGAGCGTTTCCATCGACAGCTGAAAGCTTCCCTTTCAGCTACAAACATACCTCAGTGGACCGAGGCTCTGCCTCTAGTCCTACTAGGTATTCGTAACGCGTTGAAAGTTGATGCTGGATGCACTCCTGCAGAACTCGTCTATGGGACCACTCTTCGCCTACCAGGTGAGTTTGTTTCCCCTTCAACTTTCAAACATGTTTCCGACAGGGCATCTTACGTGACTAGGCTTACAAACGCAATGCGTTCAGTTAGGCCTTCTCCGATTAGACCGCAAACGACTGATGTTTTCGTCCACCCCAGTTTACAGAAGACATCACACGTGTTTGTTCGCCACGACGCTGTTCGTCGACCACTTGAACCACCCTACGACGGGCCGTTCAAAGTGATTAAGCGACATGAGAAATTCTATGTAATTGAGCGAGCGGACGTGAAGATACTGTCAGTATCGACCGTTTGAAACCAGCTTATTTCGAAGGCAACCCCATTGTAAGTGACGTTTCAGCTCGCTACATCCGACCGACGGATGACTCAATTATCGAAATTCTCGACGATGTGCCTGGTAATGCACAGCTGCAACAACCAGCGGCGCAACAAAAAACACGATCAGGTCGAACCGTCAGGTTCCCAGAGTACCTGAAGTCATATTCAACTTAGCTGTGTGTGTGCCAACCATTTTTTTCTTTTTTTCGAGGCACTATTTTTCTTATTTACCGGCATGCACAAACCCTCGTACACTTTGCCTTTTTATATCAATTTTTATTTACCATGTAATAAAAACTAAAAAAACGGCGAAGATAAGCGTAAATTTTTTTTTTCGACACGTTTATATATAAATAATTCCCATTTTTACGCAACGTTTTCGTGGTATTAAAGACTTTTATTTATATTCCAGGTGCAACGAGCACTGGACGGAACGTCGAAAGGAACAGATGACCGCGACCGACGTACAATTTCATTTATTGTATTTTATTTATTTAATCGCCACGACACCCTAGAATAAGGTTCAGACAACCAGGGGCCACCTCACGCAGTGAGCCCATCGGAAGAGTTTTACCAGTGGAGAAACCACTGGGTTTTTACTTCCGGCTGGTATCGTCTTAGGGTCCTCACGAACCCACTAGGGGGGAGTGATCTGTAGCGTCATACACTTCCCCAAAATCAATAGCCTAGGGTTTGACGACTTTCGATATTGATGCTGACCTTGATAGTTTAACTGGACTCGATAAGCTGAAGGCACCCGGTCAAGCATCCTCGCCATTTGGCACGCTGTCGTGTTACGTTGCATTGCTCGTATTCGACTCTAGCCAGTTAGCTGGAACGCATCGGTATTTTGGCATAACCATTCAAATATACTATTCCATCCGACTACGCTATCGTGTTCTTCCTTGGTCTCGTATTCGCGGGTATATAACAAGTTCGAATAATTAGTGATTGGTCTTTGCGTCTGTCAAGTTCGCACCAGGACAAATCCTAAACACTGGAGCATATCCAGCCACAGTTGTCAATCTTGAATTGAAGCTTCTACATGGTGAGCCAGCCTCCACCCTAGTCTAGTTCTTTCTATGCCAACGTTTGAAAGTAGCTTAGGTCATCAACAGGTAGTCTATAGACAACCTTTTGGTCACTGGCGACCAGAAGTGGTGAACCGTGAACGGAACAGCTGCAGAGGTTGACAACGAAAAGAATGAGAAGTAGAGGATCTAGCTCGTTACCCTGAATGACACCAGATGTGGTGTTTCTAGGTTTAAAAAGATGGGACGCAGTTCTCACTACTCTCGAACGGACGGAAGACCGTGATCCAGACCTGCAATGGATACTCTACTTTGGGAGCCCTCAGCTTTCTAGGTGGTAGAGAATGGCTAACATGGGCAAATGCTTTGGAGATGTCAAAACAGACGACCAGGGTTAATAGGCGTTTGACGTGGCCAGCAGTTATGCGGTTAAAGAAGTCGAAGAGACAGGTCACGCGTGAACGTGATTTCGAGAACCCACTCTGACTAGAAGACATGGCGCTGTTTTTACCACATACTGTGGAACGTTTGACTTTACTATTCTTTCCGTGATTCTAGACACAACCAGGATAATATTTACTGGCCTGAAGTTGGTCACTTCGCTACACCAGACTCACGATAGTGCAAGATGAAGCATCCCTTGCACAGATTAGGGTATAGGGAAGGTCCCAAGTAAGCGGAGTTTAGCTTAAGCAACAAATAGAAGCGTCATGGCCACTAAATTTGAAGAAATACGATGATTTTCAACCAGCTATTTGGCTGCAGGCGTTGGGCGTGTTTTGACTTTTATTCTTGTAATGTATTGCCATGGAGTGTCTCAATTTCTGATCACTTCATAAAATTTCGGAAACGTCTCCTGAAAGGTGTGGTTTCCACGCTGTCACTCCATTCGCTTGTGGATTGGACAAACAAAAAGATCGACGTGGCTAGGTTGGTATGGACCGACAATCTTCAATTCACAAGACAAAGAGCAGAATGCAACTCTGAGTGATAATAACTTCGCCTTCTCTGAATAGCATAAAGTCTGTGGTTTATTAGTGGCCTTACCACGATCAAAATACGTCTATCAGTCCGATTACCGAAGTTAATCAGGTCCCAAGTTCCGTGGCAAATTATTTTCTTGAAACTTGTCAACGCCTTTCGGTACAGTCCCACATGCCATCGTTTCATGTATAATCCCGAATTTGTGCTTCAGTTGCTAGGCACTTTATCGGTATTTGGACCATTCGGACGGTAGGGTATCCTGCATAAATATCAAAAAGGCATGTGCGATTTAAAGCGAATGATAGCTCCATTTATCCATAGCTTGAAGAAACTTTTGAAAGACTGTTTGGTGTGTAGCGTCACACACTTTCCCAAAATCAACAGCCTAGGGTTTGACGACTTTCGATATTGATGCTGACCTTGATAGTTTAACTGGTCTCGATAAGCTGAAGGTACCCAGTCAAGCATCCCCACCATTCGGTACGCTGTCGTGTTACGTTGCACTGCTCGTATTAGTCTCTCTAGCCAGTTAGCTGGAACGCATCAGTATCTTGGTACAACCACTCAAATATACTATTCCATCCGACTACGCTATCATTTTCTTCCTTGGTCTCGTATTCGCGGGTATATAACAAGTTCGAATAATTAGTGATCGGTCTTTGCGTCTGTCAATATCCTTCTACATCTCTCCTTACACCTTAGCCCTCTCCATTAAAAAGTTTTACACCGAATTTTCTACTCTTCTCTTCGATTAAAACCAAGGAGTGTCCTCCTTTTTGCCTTTTTTGCACTCTGGCCCTCCTCACGTCTGAATTATTCAGGCGTCTCTCAAATATATCCCCAAGTCTTTCTCCGTCTATAAAACAACCGCTTGCTGATGTGATATCTTTTTTATTTCCCTCTTTTCAAGAATTCCATGACTTGCCATACACCTCCATAGGAACCTAATCAACACCCAGCTGCCCACAATGTTTTCTAGGAATAGAACAGGTTAACAGCTGGATGTGACGCTATAAAATCCATTTTAGCCATAGAATTATTTTTAGTCAGGAGGGCATGCTTGAAGAAGCCAGCCAAGCTGTACAACCCATTTAGATAAATATTGCATACATTGTTGTTTGACCACACCAAAAGTTATTTACTCGGCCTTCGAAACATTTTGAGGTTGGTGAAATAAATTGATGGGTGTTACTTAAAGCTATCTCCTGATTTGTATGATGTTCTTCGCAGTAGACTTAGTGGCATTGTGTCTTCTCAGACTAGTCGATACTCTCTCATGTCTGGATGATGATGGTCAAGCAACTGATTGGTAATTTTTTCATACCGCCGCTAATTTTTCTAGGTTTGCAGGATATAAGTTACCTAAGAGTTTTGATATTGTATTTATGAACCCAAAACAACCGCAGTGGAAACTATCTATTTCGCCTATAAATGGTGAAGGGATGATGAAGAAAACATATAATGCTATGTTCAGTCTAATTAATCAGCCTGATGCTGTGATTGGAATGTATAATGACGAGATACCTAAACGAAATAACTTATCTATCAGTGACGGCGATAATTTTTGGTGGGGTCATATGAAAGGTAAGCGGCATAAATTCAAGTATCCTTTACCAAAGGTGCGTTTGCATTCGATGAGTCTGATACAGGGTTTTGGGTCATACACAGTATACCCAAGTTATCTTATTCAAACACATCGTATGTGTACCCGGAAAATGGAAAAACATATGGCCAACATCTTCTCTGTATTACACTCAACAAAGAGAACCTTGCACCACTAGGTAAATGAGCTGGTTTTTGATATTCTTTAAATTCCATTTCAATTACATGTGGAACTACAAACCCCACCGTCATTAAAAAACTCATTTAGTGTTCTTGAATCATCTTATCATGGCCTACAAGATCACCGAAAAGCATTCGCTTTTTCAATCCTCACTCTATCGATGTTGGGTGTTGAATCTATTATATATGCTGGCCAACAAGAATTTTAGCAAGATTGTCCAAGCATATACACATCTTAGTCAATAATAATTATGTTCCGTATAGGTAAAATGGAAAGTGAATGAAGCCGGACTGTTGTGTTTGAAATCAGTTTGTTCATCCTATTCGTAGCAGTTACCACTCCCAAATTCTTCAGGACCTGAAACTTGGTTTTCTGCACACCGCAACATAGATTTGGTTGACGCTTAATATTTCTTCAACAATCTTTAACTTTCCGGTAACCTGCTGCATCTAGATAACTGTCTTCAATTTTATGGTTGTGATCTGGCCTATGTAATCAAAACGCTGTTTCTTTAGGATGTTCAACATTAGTGATTTGTCTTAGAAAATGTCTGTGAATAAGATATAAGATCTCCAACCTAAAATTTTACCTGATGAAAATTCGTGCATGAAGTAATGAAATATAAATTTCCGGAGCGATATCGAAGAGAGATAGACGAGGTTTTTGTGTGGTGGTATCGCTGCCATCATATTTATCAGAAAACGTTGAAAGAAGTAACTATGATCCAACTCTCTCTCTCTCTCTATATATATATATATATATATATATATATATATATATATGATGACGAATTAGAAGGGTAAAGAAAGACTATTCACAGTTTATTTTATATACAACGATTAGGCCAATGTCAGTTTAAAGTACTACTTGGCCCATTAATTAGTCTCAAGTATGTAAATGCCCTTCTAGTGTCACCCCCAACTGTATTTTCAAATTCTCTCATACTTTCAGAATTAAGTGCAAAGGAAGGACTGAGTGAAAGGCATCTACTTGATTTCACTAACAATTCTTGAAAAATTCGCATTTTACAAGTACAATAGTCATATGCCTGGTGAAAACTGGATACTGACTACATATCTTCAGTACCTGCGAGTTAATAAATAAACAGAAATTTTCAAGCTCATTACACTTTACTGAAGTCCTCACAGTAAGACATTTGAAAGCTGACTTTTGTATACAAAATGAAACTACTTCATCTTTCCTTACCCTGGAAATTCAGTTTTATTTTACGCTACATCATGCCTTGTTTTGTATCTCATGAATTTTGACTAAATTTGTTATTTTCAAACGACAGTTAGTATTCCAGAGGAGTTGTTGATTCATGATAAGTTAAACATGACTACGATGCAACACAACAATTATATATATATATATATATATATATATAAACGATAAAATGTTTTCCCAACATACTCTCTGACTTATTCTTTATTCCATAGTGAAACAGTTTGCTGTATCCCGGCCACTATTTCAAAGCGCGTATATTTCACCCAGTATAAAGACGCAATTTCCGGATTTAGCTGAATTACTCCAAAATAGAAAAGTAACAACTGAAACGGAAACTGAAGTCATTGAATTACATACAGCTGGCAGCACTTTTCAGCTGAAACATTTCGCAAAGTCTATAGATTTTGGTAAAGGTTAGTTATATTTCATTATTGAGTTGACTTGTTAAAATGAAAGTATTTCTGTTACTGGTCAGATGAAAGTTTTGCATATATGATTAGAAATAAGTATGAGATTTAAGCTATGCATTCTGTCTTAGTTTGGACTAGTTAGCGAAGTTTGCCTGCATTCCAGTTATTGTTTTTGATTCTGTCAAGATTCTATGATAAAAGATCCATATAATGTCAACTAACCACTTTAGTACTAAAAGTTAACAAAGGGAAATCCTGTCGTTCAATAAGGAAATGAACTCACTGAGCATAACTATATTTTTGTATACCAGTAGGTTAGAGCATAAAGAAAGAGGTGATGTTTAAGGTTATGAACACTGTCCTCAAGTCTTACTGACAGCTGTAAGACTCATTGGAGTGTACATACATTTTTATTTTAAGAGCTAGCCATAGGAAAAACAAACATTTTGGATTCCTATGATAGTCAGTACCAAATAATATCAAGATGCAACTAAAGGCTATATCTAAGTATTATTAATAAGAATGAGCAAATCATTTATCTCCTAGAATTAAAAAAGTGGAAATCTCAAACTCTAATTATCAATACAAACAGTGCTAACGAAGAAAAATATTTCTTTGCGATTAGTTCCTCATCAATGGCTATTCCCTAATATGTAGCATTTTCAAAAGGTAGAATTATATGCCAGTCTAGTGGTGAGAGTTGCTTAATGACAAGTTATCAATTTCAACAGGGTGATAATGGATCAGGTAATTAAGATAACCAACTAAAGCATAGATTAATTATAGTAGAAAGATTTTGTAGAATTTTAAACAGGTTCTTACACTGTTATTTTGTATAGTAGTAAACAACGCGCAAAGAAACGAAAATAAATCGTGATGTCAAGTGGGAACATGTTGACAGTAACTAGAGATAGCACGGGGAGAACAAGATGGCTAAAACTGTAACAATAATAACAACACACGATAATAATAATGGTAATAGTAAGGGAGATTAAAATATTATTATTATTGGTCCCTTGGGTTCCTAGTGGAACATAGCGCTTCAGTAGCATGTCGCCATTTCACTCTCTTCTCTCCAGTCTTTTCAACCTGGAACCACAACTGACCATAACCTTTCATTTCTTCCTCACACCACCTCATCCATGTCACCCTCATATGGGACGCCCAGCTCGTCGTTTCCCATCTGGGTTCCACTCCAAGGCCTGCCACGTTATGTCCCCAAACCGTCCTCTCAGTCTATATCCAATCCATCTCCACTTCCTTCTACTAAATTTTTGTTGGGTGATAGCTTCTTGGTTGGTTCGTTGACAGCCAGCCAGAGTTCCTTCTTGCTTATTCTTATTATTCTGGCCATCCGATCTCCATCTTCAGTATCGAGTGAGCGTGAGCAGCCGTTGATGAATGTCTGTAGTCTGTTGGAAATGTTTTTGGTGACGCGCCAAGTCTCTGAATCATAAAGAGGCACTGACTTGACGTTGGTGTTGAAAATCCGGATCTTGTACACGCTTTATGATGAGTGCAATCTCCACACTGATTTCAGATTAATGAAGGCCTGTTTTGCTGTCTTTCCGATCCTGGCTAGCTTTGACGTTCTTGTCTGTGCCACCTGTGGTTGAAACGATGCTACCTAGGTAAGTGGTAGGTGAAAGAGACAACTTTCTTCAGGTTTCTCCCGCCGATGGTGATTGGTGCTTGTTGTTGATGCTGATGTTGGTTGGTTATCTCCATCACCTCTGTCTTCTCTACATTCACTTGAAGTCCTGTCTTCCTTCGCTACCCTGCCTCTTCTGTCAACTTGTAGATCTTCGAGTTTGTGCAACATCAAACATAAATCATCACTGGCGAAATCCAAATCTTTTTCAAGGCTCTTTTCCTCAGTCCAGTCGGCGTATACCCATTTTCTTGGTCCTCCCAGTTTGTAGCTTAATCCAGTCCACCAAAATCAGAAACATCATTGGTGATAGTAGGCGGCAACCTTGTCTTACTCCCGTCCCGTCTTCATTTCAAAGGCGTCACTGAGCTTCCCGTTGTCAATCATTTGGCATGTGGCGTCTTCATATAGTTGTTGAATGAGGTTGATAAAGATTTATGGCACTCCGTAGTGTTTAAGCAACTACCAAATTATTTCTCAGTCGACGCTGTCGAAAGCCCTTTCAAAGTCAATGAAGTTGAGGTAAAGAGTTGATTGCCATTCTATTCTGTGTTATATGATGATGCGCAGAGTTGCAATTTCACCCGCGCATGATTTGTCCTTCCTGGAGCCAGTCAGCCTGTTCCGGTCGTAATTTCGAATCCAGAGCATCTTTCAGTCTCTCTCTACAGGATGATGCAACTCAATATTTTGCTTCCTTTGGGTGAAAAGCAGTATGATTCCGCTCCACTTCTTGCAAAGACTTAGGCCTCGCTTCTTTGGATGTCTGATTAGGTAGCCCTTCTTCCAATCAGTTGGCATGTAACTTTCCTTCCTTGCTTCAAAACCTTCCGTACTAGTGGTATGAGCATGTGCGCTGTTGTCCTTGCATATTTTCTCAGTGCTTCTGGTGGAATTCCATCTGGTCCTGCTGCTATCCCGGATTTCAGCAACTTTATCGCATTCAGGACTTCGAAGTTTGTCGGAGGGCCCTGTGCTCACTGGTAATTGTGGCGTTGCTGGTGGTATTTCTGGACGAGTTGTAGGTGGTGGTCAGACCACTGTTTCTTTTGTTTCTACCCTTTGACGGTAAGCAGGTTTCCTTCACTATCTTTCATTGTTAGTGTCTGCCTTCATCTCTTCCCTCCTAGATAGTAACCTGGTTATTTGATATAGCATTGTCAGGCCTGTACTACTTCACTTACAAGTGTGACGCAGAAGTGTCTTTGTCTTTCCGCTCACTCTTATTCACTTCTTTGTCCAGTGTAGTGTTTTATAGGTTGTGTTCACCTCCTCTTTTCCTTGTTCATCCTTGCACTGCACTCCACTGCACTGCACTCCACTGGTCTATCTTCTGCTTCACAATCACCATCTTCCTCTCCCTCCTCTATCAGCTTCCATATGTCTGTGGAGATCCACTGCTTGTCTCGTTTCGTTTTCTTCTTCCTTTCTAACCCCGTTATGCAGGTTTCTTCCCACATAGCTTTCAAAGAGTTCTAGGGTTCTTCCACACACTTCCCTTCACGGACATTGCTCAATGTCTCCCATTTTGTCCTGATGACTGACTGACTGACGTGGAGATGTCCTTTGTAGTTTCATCCTTCAGTTCACTTTCTGTTCTGTTGTGGGTGTTGAACTTGAACTGTGGTCGATCATCACCAACTTCCTTGAAGGCTTTCAACTTGATCTGGAAGGTTGTTTGCCCTAGACAGTGAGCAGTCTGAATCTACATCTGCTCCCCTTGTTGATCTGATCTTGTGTCCAGTAGGCTGCGTCTCCACTTTCTCAAGATTTAGCTGAAGTCAGTCTGATTTTCAGTGAAGTGTGTCCTGGTGTTTGGCGAAATCCATGTCTCTGCCTTGTGAATATCCCCGTGTTTGTACACACTGCCTCGCCTGCAATCACCAAGTCGGTGAGTGTGCAGAAATCTGCAAACAGTTCTCCATTCTCATTCATCATTTCACCGGGTGCTTCTCTACCCATGATGAGTTCTCTTCCTGTGTTGTCTACTGCTAGTTTGGTATTCATGTCATCCATTAGAGATTTGATGTGGTCAACTGGTGTGGGGTCTTGTCCAGTACTGATTGCAGTTGTCTGTAGAATTCCTCCTTCTTCTCTTGATCCGTATTTGTTTTTAGGTACATGGCGTTGCACTGTGTGATTGTGACTTTCCTTCCTTTTGAGTTGAATGTTGCTGTTATGATCCTGCAGGAGGAGATTGGTTGCCAATGCATGGGAGGAAAGAGAGCATTTGATGGCCTTGGTGATATCATGATAGCCACTCCATAACTCAGTGTGTTTGTGGTTGTCGTCTGGGTGACAATATCGGAGTCGATTATTGACTCTGCAGTTGACAGTTTGGAGAGTCCACTTCCATTCCACCTGCTGGTTTCTCGCAGATTGCTAGCACTTCTATGCTATACCTTCTCATCTCTTTAGCAACCTGGGCAGCCTTACCACCCGGCTTCAAACATGTACCGGATATTTCATGTCCCCATGTTTACTTTCGCTTTCATTGAGAGAAGATACATCGGCCAACTGGCTTCCCTAAGGCTTTCACCAACCGGTGTCATTTAGTCTCCCCGATCCGATTCCAGCGACGAATAAGTTCGTTATTATCTTTTTAAATTTTTTTGTGCTTTGAAGTTTTTTAACGATTGGATTAGTTTTAGGGGGTAGGGTTGCTAGCCCTATGCCCAACCTTCCTTCTCTACCCTGGCTTAGGACCGGGTAGTAACTAGTGAACTAGTTAACCAGGCGAGGTTATTAAAATATTAGTTGTAGTCATTTGTGGGATGAATGAAAGGAAGGATCTTGTTTTAAGACGTAAGATATGCAGATGCCCAAGACAAAGAAAGAAGCTGTGCGAATTTTTTCTGAACACAGAGACGGCTTATTCAGGTGGATTCCGGTGGCTTCTTTATACATAAAGACGAACTCATAGAGCATAGGTGAGATTATAAGGAATATGATAAACAACTTTAAAATTGTTTTGAGTTCTAACTCGGTAACCAGTGTCAATCAGACAAGAATGTACTGAACTTCGTATCGATCTGGTTTGACCTTTACCTAGCCATGAAGAATGATACTTGGCGATTCGACGACGGACTTGCCTAACTGTACGTCCAATGAAACTAGCTCCACAGGAGCGGTTGAATGGTAAATGCACACAAAAGAGGCGAAGTCAGGTAGTCTGTTTTTGATTTACGTGGTCATCATCGGCTGACCGTAGAACACACAACATTGCTGCACTAAATGATCTTCTTATGGCATTCCTTAGGCGCTATGTCACAATTTTGCTGATGATGTCACCTATAAGTTGTAGTCTTAGGAACAATGGTTTCTTGGAAACTGTCGGTACTCTGGTTTTCAT